AAGAGAGAGGGAGATGATAAAAACCTTGGTAATTAGAACGTTGTTTTAGTAATGGGGGGTGGGGCAGGCATAGTTGTATCAGTACACAACACCTTTGGGGTCTGAATTTACGGACAATTTTTTTATGGATATTGCGTGAAGGGCTATGGACATATGAGAGCTTTCTTTCATCTAGGACTCAATTGACAGCCAAACATTGTGTACGGCAAGGAAGTCAAAAAGGATTGGGGCAGCCGAGCATGATCAGTTTCACTTACCGTCCTTATATAGTCACCGTCGACCCTCCGCTCGATTTCTGTGGTTTTATCACCCACTTGGATTTGCTTCATCATATCGCCAACCATAGTTATGGTTGAGGTCACCTTTCGACCGTCTGGTGTGGTCTCTGTGAAGGGCTCGCCCAGCTTGAACTCGAAACCGGTAGTTTTGAAGGTGCTGGAGGACACCATCTTGTAGTGATCACCCTCCTTCGTGATTGTCATCGTGGGTTTCATGGTGTTGCCGGCCTTACGGGTGACGAAATTGACGCCTAGACGGCCCATTATTTCGTCAAAGCCATCGCTGTGGTCGAGCTTCCAGGATCCGAGAAATGCTTCCATTATCAGCAGGAAGAGGAGGAGAACAAGAGGATGCCCACGGTAGCTGCAGCTCTGATTTGTAGGTAATTTATATGGTTAACATTAGTCGTGGATTGGCTGATCTGACTGGTCTTTCCGCATAGGTGGCAGTGGGGGGAGGCAGGGCGAGGAGACGGAGTAAGCAGTGACCTCAGTTTTGACGAGTCAACACGCTGTGACCATTGCCAACCCGTGGCGCGATTTCGCAAAACCAGCGTAAACATCAGCCTAGTTCAATCGCACTTGAGGTACTGAGGGGTGATCCATATGCCTGTTGAGAAGCTGTGCAGGGGTTTGATGGTTCAAAATGTATCACTTCGCCAGCATCATCTCCACAACCGCAAATGATCAAAACCCGATATTGAAAACCTGTTGATGGAGGAGGGAGGCATTTGAGTGTAATCGGTGAAGAGACGATCTAGAGGTCGATGTTAGCAATAACACTAACCTAGAACCAAGAAGCCGATCTTTGATTATTTACTATTAGTGTAAACTATCCCTGATGCTTTGCATCAATTGAATTTCCCATTATCTAAGCAACCATGAGAAAACGGGAGAAACCCACTGGATCAGGAAATATGCCACCAGATGGAATCAAAATCCCGGCATCCCGAAATATTTCTTGAAGCCAATTCATCTAACGTTTCATGGGTAACTCTGTCCTCTTTCCATCGTGAATTCACGGGTGTAGCAGACACCCCGATACGTCTAAGAGGTGAATACCTCAAGAGAACTCCGAAATAAATGCCTGACCGTTCGGTATGTCAAGAAAAGTTTATTATGACAGGAACTAAATTATTGAACGAAGACTCGCACGCAAGACAATGTAAACCTTGGGGTGCTAAGGCTATCTTTTGTGCTTTGGAGAGAGGATTTGAGAGAATATAGTCTTAATTATGCAGATGTGTTACGGTAAATAACCGATCGCTGTTAGATTGCTTTCCACATCTGTTTGGAAGGCTGGAAGCGGTGCTCAGTACTCTGATTTACTTTTTGGCCTTCTTTATGTACACTGTACTTCAGCTAACCCTCACTGGTGAGTAATACCTAGAATGAATATCCTCGTGAGCAAACAGCAAGATGAATCCCAAGACATCGGTCTTTGTGATCGTAATGCATGCAGAGTGCTAACCACCATTTGATATGCTTAATTGAATTTGTAATTGAGGAGTAGAAGACGACTCGATCGCTGGAACAATAGGTTTATTCGCCTGAGGTTTCGAAATCCGTCGCGGATTCATCATCAGAGACATACTCACGGAACAGTAGAGGAAACAGTTTGTGTGTGTGTGTGCACAGGGTTTTGCCATAAACTTTAAACGTACGAAAAAAAATCGATAACTGCCTTGAGTGTGCACTGATTCGTTGCGTTAGCAGTGACCATCTGGCCTTGCGGTGTAATGCCCACTGGACCCCTAAGAAAACGCCGGTAGTACTTAATCTTGCCGACAGAGAGGGCATTTGCTGTGTATTCTAGCGTCACGCCTACTCTTTGTCTTCCTCTCTGGCGAAAGCGTTGTTACGTGACAGTAAGTTGATTTGAGTCTTCCCCGAGTGGCTATTCTGCAAAATCTGCTGACCGTCTGTCGTTTACTTTTCAACGAATTGGTTGCTAACACACGAGAAGTTCATTCAGGTTGCGTATATTTAATGTGATAGCTGGCACTTAAACATTAAAAAATACAAAGGAACACAAACGAATGCAGCTTATACTTTAGTGTAGTCCCGTGAGCTCCTCTAACTTCAGGATCTTAAAAAAAGAGCTCAACGGGGAACTCAGCATTAGTAATTAGCTACATTTTAGTAATGCGGGAAGCTGTCAGGCAAAATTAGTTTATGTAGTGCACCTCATATACCCCTAGTCCCAGCATTTTTTCCTACGTAAACGGTGGTAGGGTGGGGAAACGGTGGGTTTTTGAGGGTGGGGAAATAGGATAGGCAGGGAAGGAAATTTTAGAAGTGTAAAAGGGGAAAAAATATAGCCGAATTTGTTTCCCGCGGCCGCTGGCTTTAAACTGAAGGTGGGCGTGACGCTTTGCGCCGCGGACTTTACTAATCTAACTCCAGAACAGTAAGTTGGGCCCCAGATAAGTTGAAGTATACGACCTCCTAACCACCATGTCTATTTTTTAGAAATTTAAAGAAATCTGCAATTTGATAATTGGAATCTTCCACAATACGTTTAACGATAATACAGAGTAGGAAAATCTACAGATATAAATTAAAAACATTTATAAATACAGTAAAATAAATGTGTATACAGCTGTCGTGAAAGTATATTCCACTGCCTATCGTGATTCCCCACCCATAAAACCCTATCGCCACCATTTCCCTAGGATAAAATGCTGGGACTAGGGATTAATGAGGTTTACTACATAAACTCCTGTTGCCAGCTGGCATAGTTATGTCAGTAGTTGAAGCAAGGCGGCAAGTTAATACAAGCAAGCTAGGATACAAATCGCCCTTCCCGACCAACAGAAATTTCCTGCTGTGCATACCTAATTATTTAGCACCTTACTGTACGTTCAAAAGTTAAAGTTGGCACTTGGTGATGAGCCTTCTCTCAATTAGTTTTGAAGTTTTCGCAACGGACAAGAAAATATCGATATATTTAAAGAAAAAAAGTTTGCATGCAGGTATTATTTCTGCGTTTCAGAGCATGAAATCAAAGGTGTGGAAATCCGACGTTGTAAAATTAATAAAAGTCGGGTTTTAAAAGCTAACCCGCTTGTCCACACCCTGTTTTAGCTGATATAGGTAGGTGAAGGTCAAAAATGATGCATCCACATTTTCGAGAGGATTTTGGGTTAAATTTACCGAGGATTTTATGTTTCGTTTCACTTGGGTCAACGCATCAGAAACTCCCCCCAGTAAAACAGTCTATCCGCGGAAGTCGTATCTTATATTTTTTTAATACATATTCCGGACGAGAAGGAAAGATGTATGTTATGAGGGCAGTAATGT